ACTGAAATCCTTTTCTCAGTGTTTGAACGGGCACGAGTTTGGTAGTTGAAGGGACAAGACAGAACACTAAAGTATATTATGTCCTCCTTCAAGAGAGAGCTCTGCTTGTCATATCCTCGATACATCTACAGTGCAAATTATAACTTATTATAACTTAAGTTATGAAAACTCATAAAAACACTTGTCCAGTGTAAGAACTGGTCTAAAAGTATCAAAATTTGGAAAAATATACATTATTCTTCAGAAGATGGAATACTATCAGCGGTCACACACAAACCAGCAATAAATATCTTTTCTTTGATCAATTTTACTTTTTTTCCCATCTCCTTAACTTTTCTTCCAATTCTTTTCTATTATTTCTTTTTTCAGATACCTTTTTGAGAAACTAGAGGTGAAAATGGATATATATATATCCTTGAAAATATAAGTATACAACTCTAGAGAACAAAAAAACATCAGGAACATTAAACCCACAAGAAACAAAAAAAGACATCTACAGAAATCTGATAATTCATACACAAAAATAATGAAGTCGTGAAAGGAAAAATATCAAAAGATCAAAGCAAACGGCTCATAAAATTATAGAAAAGAAAAAGGAACTGTATCAGCAAAGACAATTTGTAGATCACATGTGCCCTTTGGTAAGCAAAAAATTGCCTAGAAACAGGATTTGCTGGACGGAATAAAAGCATCACATTTGTACTTCAGATCAATAATAAAAGATCACAGAAATAAAAAGCACTTCTACAAATTCAAAACAATATGTCATTAATTGTCTTGGATACAGTAAACCTCTCTTCCATTTAATAATAAAATGATTCCCTATTTATTATATAAAGGAAACTGTTTTCTATTAGGGGCAGGCACGAGACGAGCCGAGTCTCGTTTCTCGCGGGAAACGGCCTTCCCGTCACTTCCCGGGCACTAAACTTCTGCTCGGTACCGAGACGTGATACTTGCTCGTTGGCTTGACATAATGAGTAACAGTAACGAGAGTGAGAGAGTGAGAGGCGAGAAATGACAACGCAGACAGTGCCACCCATCATCGTGCCGTCCTGTGTGTGAAACTGAAAGGGAGGGGAGAGGGTGGCGAGACGAGGCGAGTGGGGAGTTGATCAGGGCCTAGGCCTAGGTCGTCTCCCTACCTTCCTTCACCGCCTGCGCCTGCGCACCAGGGCAAGCCTAGTTTCTAAGTTTAGATCCCCGCAACGACCGGCCTTCCCGCTAAACGGGTTGCTCGTTCTGTGGGGCGAGAAGAGAAATCTCGGCCACGGCCGGCCTTCTCGCTGAAAGAGCGGCTCGAACTACGGGGCGAAAAGAGAAATTGGTCACGAGACGAGAAGCATTGCTCGAGACTCGAGACACGAGACGGGAAGTATTTCTCGTTCCCGGGACCGGTCTCGGCGAGAAATAGGTCAGCTACTCGGTCTTCTCGCTCGCGAAGGAAAAAGCGCTTCCCGCCCGTCTCTATTTTCTATGACTATATAACTGCTCTTAACCCTTACAGCATCGTGCTAACTTTAGCCCTTACTACCCTCTGGTTCAAGTAATACTGGAGTCCTTGACTTCTGTGGCCCAACCAATACTGACAGTGTCAGCAATTTTATTCACACATTAAAGTAAAAGATTCTATATCCTATATTTCTTTTGTTTGAAGTTTCAGAAGAAAACATGGAGAATATTTTTCAGAAACAATTGGATAGATTATGTTAAAAGTACCGGACTGGGTTAGAAGTGGTCAGCGCCCTGTGAGAGAAATACACACAACTGGAACTGTAGGCCTAAGGGTTATCATCTGTCCGGCATATTTTTGGTCTGTACATCCTGCATCACTATGACTTGGTGAAATTCTATTGATGATAAACAAATCCTCCCCCCCCCCCTTTCAATCCTGAAGTGTATATGTTGTAACTATGAGCCTTGACTTTCACGGGCCAGACACTCACACACAACTGCCAAAATGGGATTTCTACAGATTGAGAATACGAAGAAACAATCGTTACATACTATACATATCAAAGATTTGTGTTCAAAAGAGCAAATAAAAGTATAAATGCTGCAAGATCTATGTACTTCAATCTCAACAAATCGCGATCAACACAATAAATGTCTCGTCATCTCACCACATTATGACAAAAATTTAATCTTATAGTACTAGCATCTATAAAAGTAAATCTTTGCAACCTTTAGGAATGGTTATGTTGTATAAGACCATTTTTTTAAAGTGTCTATAGAATTCCTAAATAAAATATAATCTCTTAAGGTATGAAATAAAATCCTCATCAGAAGATATTTTTTTTGGGCCAAATCATGTAAAACTTTCTCATAATTTGAATATTTTAGATAACTCGTCAATAAATTTGACATTCCGAAAGCAGGGATGGACACAGCACTGGTGATTAAGAGGTCAATAAATCATCAGCCTTTCAATATAAAACAATGTCAGTGACACAGATCTAAAACACTGGTCATTGAGGGAGTGTTCTTGAGTAGAACACTCTACGCCTTGTTCAAAACCAGGGTGCAGTACCGAAATGACAAACAATTTTTTATGTGAATACGTTTCATGATGTACCAAGTGGTGCGATATTATGAATTAATTTATGAATTATCATGTAGCAGGTTGCAACTAGCGATCTAAGTCAGATATGAATTTCTTACAACATACTGTTGTAACTCAAAATGCCTCACTTCTTGGACAAAAACGTCATCACATCTTTCTTTTCTTCTCTTCGTTCTTTCAACATATTGAACTAAACTGAAAAGATAAACAAAACTTTAAAACAATTTTTTCAAAGTTGCATAAGTTCCTGAATCCAGGAAAAAATCCTCTGAAAATGCTTGACCAGGGGTGCCAGCTAAAGACAAAACAAATCTCCAACTTGTTTGAAATTTTTTTGCAAAGCATTTTGTATAAAAAACAACAACATTGAGAATGTGTGTGTTTGTGTGTAAGTGAGAGAGAGAGAGAGAGAGAGAGAGAGAGAGAGAGAGAGAGAGAGAGAGAGAGAGAGAGACAGA